CAGATACTATATAATTAAATAGAATAATAATGACAGTGAACACATGCAACTCCCATGGCAAGATGAACTCCATTTCTGCATCCCTCCTGTTCAGCAGATGGAAATTCCACATGAGGCAAATTCAAAGTAGGAGAGTTTTCATTCAAATTGAATCCTGATTAGCATAATGTCCTCCCTGTTGATTTAAATCACTATGCTATACACTGACATTAATTTTTATGCATACCGGACATGTTTGCATTTTAAACAAGTCTACTGCAAAAGGTAAAAAGGCAGAGATTTCATGTATTGCCGCTGGACAGCTAGAAACAACAGGAACTCACAATTACTGTGGGAGTACCAAAGCCCTCTTCAATTCAGCTTTAAATATACTTGAGGTTCATGCTTTTTCGGGTACTATTACTATGCAGTTTCAAATGTCTGTTTTATTTAATTTTATATAGGTCAAGAACTTCACTAAAAAGACCTAAAACCAAAGATAAGAGTTTGTGCAAGTTGAATCATCCTTAGCACCTGGCATACCCGAGATATGTTCTTAACCCAGTTCAAAATGGTTTGGATTGCAGGCAAGAGTAGCCTGCCCATCACATCTTTGTGTAGAACAGGTACTGGATCCACAGTGCACAACCGAAGTCAGTATTGGCAGTGCATCAAGAGATATCCTCAATGGACCAGCCAACATTTCAAAGGCCAGAACTGAAACATAATGATGAAGAATATTTATGGAGAGTTCTTGAAGAAAGGCAGTTTCCCCTTAGGGAAACAGAGAACTCTCAAATGTTCTAATAATGTTCAAATTCTCCACTAAATAGTGAAATAGCATCTCTCTAAGAAAAACAAACAAAACCACCCATCACTAGTGCACAGAACTTGCAGATGACTTTAGACACCTATACCAGCAGTGGTTTTGTATAGCTTTCAAGTCTCAATTGTTCTTTTAAGTCACCTGCAGCATTCATGACTGAAATGCTGCAGCAGTTTTGAATAATCATATAAGAACAGGTAAAAGACAAAATAGAAAAATCAACAGCAGAGAACTCACTATCTGACTTCCAGCACCCAAGACGAGCAATATACAAGTTCCTAGTTTTCCCTCTGAGATCCTGGCATAGGTACATAATTTGGAAGTACATTAGAATCAAAACTTCATTAATTGAGAACTGACAAGCATATAAAACATATTCTGGAAACAATGCTTCCTGAGAAATTCCTTTATCATTATCATATAACTTGTAGGAACCTCAGCAAAGCATTCACTTAAAGCATGCATTGGTTGTTAGTACTTGTGCTCCATTAATAGCTGTTGCCAGACCAAAAAAAAAAAAAATCAAACTTTGAGTGAGCTTAAACACAACTTGACTGCTCATACTAGTGAAAGCATCTCCAAGTAGAAATTAAGACACTGTAGCAGGGTAGGCTGAACAAAAATCTTAAATAAGCTCTTCCTCTATTTTATGGTTATATTATAAATGCAGACAGTACTTGTACTTCTGCTCTCAGGATACTCTCACTAGCACAAACTTCACTTATTTTACACAGGAACTTTCCTATGACTTCTCTTTACCAATTCTATAGAGATAAATACATACATCATGCTAATAGTTGAAAAAAATAACTCTGTAAAGGAAACGCATAAAATGTATTAAACAAAAGAAAACCAAATCACATTCTCACTATGGCCACACAAAATGTCTTACCTTAATATTTTTGAACTCTTTTTTCCAGGGGTAAAGAAAGAGATTAATTCCAACTGTCTCAAGCATGCCGAATGCATTATGGAGAGAATGTAAACTCGAGGATTTCACAGATCTCAGTGAGTTTTCAGCCATGTCGTAAAATTTTATCAGCCGGAATCTATAAAAGGGATCAATTTTGGGAAGGCAAAGTAGGGCTGCCGCTGCCACTCGCAAATACTCATCATTAATAGGACGCTGCTTGTTGTCAGATGCATTCAGTTTGCATTCATGGAACTGTACATACTTCCTAAATAAATCGTCTTTATATTTTGTATCCATTGAAATCAGTTTTTATCTCACACTTGGGCAGCTACCTCGTCTCTTTCATGGTTATTCAGCAGTGGGTTGATTATCTGGCATTAAGAATCTTCAGTAACGGCAACTCTTCTGGAATAAAAATTCAAAACAAAGACAAGTCATCACAGTTGCATAAATCCCAGATGTCCATAGCATCTATCTGCTTCAGAGGATTCTATAAAATGGTTCACAAAGCAGCAGCTCCCAGAACAGCCTCTTTAGGTTTCTGAAAAAGCGCAAGAGTCTACATAAATGCTGCTGTCCTGCTTTTCACTGTCATTCTCTACTCCTCTTCCAGCTGCCCGCCTAAAACAGCACAAACAAACCTACATCAAAGCAAGTCACTGAGAATCTGATACAATAAAGCTAGTGTAGGCTCAAGCCCAGACTGAGGGTTCCTTTGGCTTAGGGAACACCAAGGCAAAGTAAATCACAGCAAAAAAAGGAGAAGCATGAGTTTTTAGGGTCTCTTCTCTGCATCTTATTTTGTCCTCTCAGTTCAAACAACTTAAACATTAATCAGTCACTGTTGGATTGAGGTTTTTTTTCTCTGTACAGTGATATAAAGGTTAAAAAAAAAAATCCCCAAGAGGTTTAATTTTGCTCAATCTGGGAAAGCTTTTTTTTTCTCCTTTCCCTTCTAGTGGCACAGGACTGTCCCTAGACTGAGCAGATAAATTAACTTTGCCTTTATATTTCTAACATTTTCTAGGCTCTTGAATGCCACTTACATTCCACCTGATGGCACACCCAGGCCATCATTGTGCTAGGAGAGCTCTGCAGCCATCCTACAGAGAAGATGCTCCCCTGATTGCTGCAAACTACAGCCAAAGTTTCAGCTGAATCCTGGCAGCTGCAAATATGATTGTGATCTTTTCAGCAAAAAAGCTACACCTGCCATTTTTTTAGCTGCTTTATTAGAACAGGGCAAAATAATTTGGTTTTACATCATGTACACTTTTATTTGCAGGGATAGCTGCTTTTATGTATATACTGATCTGCATTTTCACCTCACTGAGCTCACATACTGCACAGAAAAAGCTAGTGACAAAAGAAGCTTCCTAATGTTACTTTACCAAATCCAAGGTAATTAACAGGCCAACAGACTCTATCCCAACTGCCTAAGGAACTTGCAATCAAAAAGCAGACCACAGGCCTCATTTTTTAAATAAAAACACAATCCAACCCTTATGGACTTCCCAACTGTGAACCAAGGAGAGGGGAGGCAGGCAAAATCAATGCACTGTTTCAGTTGTAGTCAGTCTTAAACAGCACTTTAGAAAAGACTTTCCACCCAATATTAATTGCAGCTGCTAGAATACCGATCAATGCCCCCACACACTCCTATTAAAATGAAAATCACTGTTAAGAGCAAAATTAACTGAATGAAAGGAGCCATAACATAAAATACATGGTGAGGAGAACTACAAACCAACACCCAAGAGGCCAGGAAAACAAACAAACAAAAACATCAATAGCCTAGCAGTTAATATTACTTGATGAAAGGCTGTGCTTAATGACAACACCATGTGGGAAAAGTTAACTAGCAGTTCAATTTCTGCTCAAAGACACACTCAGAAATTGCACTGATGTCAAGAGACAAGCTGTGAATCACAGGAAATGTGGAGTTCTAAATTAACATCCGAGCATAAGGGACAGGAGTAAACCCTTCTCTCCCCAAGATCTTTCCTCCTTAAGTTGTGCAAGATGAAGTCTGTGGACAAAGACAACAAAATGTCTGTTCCTTAGCAAGAAGAGCTCCACAAGAGAATTTCAGAGAAAGATCTTTGTCTGGCACATCAATAACACACCCCCAGGACAGGGAATAATTCTGTGCTGACAAGGAGCTGGATTAAGCATTACCATTCTTCCACCTCCACTGTTAATAACTACTAAACAAAAGCACTTGGTTAGAAGTACAGGACATCAGGATTACTAAAGTCCCCAAGTGAAACCAAAGTCCTTCATCAAGGTCCTGCAGACTGTGACACTCAAAGTCACTGCCAGCTCCAATTTTGACTTGCACTTTGTACACAGGTCAGAATTTGCACAGCCAAAAAGCAAAACACAACGAACCAAAGACCCCAGCAAACCTTTGCAGAGCTGCTCCTCTGCACAGAGCCTCCAGAAGCAAAACACCCCTGTCCCAGGCAACCCACCCAGTGCCAGGCAGGCTCTGAACAGCTAACAACCATGGTTACAAGGCGCGATAGAAACCTCAATGTGAGCAGGCACAGATAAATATAGTTTTAACAAGCACACTAGCTGATGGAACAGATAAGGTAACAAGGCTGTTTTGCTGCAAATTATTGACCTAAAACCTCAAGGTTTCATGGAAATACATTAAGTTCAGATCAGAGTCTAGTTTCTACTGGCAAAACAAAACGTTTCTATCTATCTCCTGGGTCAAAACTTCAGCTGAGGGAACCAACCACTCTGCTTGCCCTGGACTGCTAGGCAGGGCACAGTCACACAAAATCCTTACAGCAGCAGGGGAGAAACACAGGACAGGTACAGCCTTCTCCCAACCCACGCTATGGGAGACCAGAAACGCCAGGGTCTTCACCGAACATTTGAAAGTTATCTCGAATACAAAGGCTATTTAATAGCACGACAGCACACCGCATCGCTAAGGAATTTCAGGCCTTAAAACACTCCAGAAAGAGGGAACACACAAATTAGCACTCGCTTGAAGCCGCTTCGCTCTTTGACTCTCACAGAGACACTTGTTGCTGAGACGCCCAGCCCAGCCAGGGGAGCGAGACAGAACTGGCGACGGTGAGGAGCCGTAGGCGCGGCTTCGGGACACCGACGCTGCCCCCACCTGCCCTGCGTGAGCGGAACTCGCTGACCGCCGAGACCCAGGGCAGGCCCTACGGGGGCTTCCTCCCACCTCTCGCCGCTGAAGGGGCGCAG